GTAGGGACCAACACAGCATTGTGAATTGCCATACTTGCCTTTTTTGACACATTCTGACTTTTCACAATAGAGTGTAGAGCCCCATTTACTTTATTTCCTGCATTCACTCGTCGTTCAATATCCTTATCATATCTCCCATACTTGCTGAATACACATCCCAAATATACGAACTCATCCACCTGCTCAATTAACTCTCCTATTCTTATTTCACATACCGTCTTGCTTTCATCTCTTTCAAAAACCATCACTTTCGTCTTACTTGCGTTCACTTTCATTCCCCCTTTCTTTTAATGACCTGTTCATTAATGTAACCATCATTTGCAACTCGGCCGCCGACGACGCAAGTATGACTTGATCATCAAAAGGCATTTGATGGTTAACTCACCCATTCTTAACCCGCACTCTTCAACTTTCAAATTTTCCAAACAGCTGTCCATAAATAGGTTGAACAGCCACGGGAAGCTACACAGCCCTGTCTGACACCTTTATGGATGCCAAACCAGTCCGAGTAGACCCCGTTGATTCTAACACAAGCACTCGAGTCCCTATGCAGAGACTTTAATGCCTGTATCAAAGCAGCGCTCAACCTAAATGCGTTCAGCGTTTGCCATAACACATCCCTGTCCACTCTGTCATAAGCCTTTTCCAAGTCCATGAACGCACAAAAACTTTTTGGTTTTTCGTTAAAAACTTCTCCGCGATCATGCGCATGGAAAAGACTTGATCTGTACACCCCATTCCCATTCTAAATCCCGCTTGCACATCCCAAATTTTTTCATCAGTTTCTTTCATAACTCTTTCAATTAGTACCTTAGCATACAGTTTTCCCACAATGCTAAGAAGGCTGATACCACGGTAGTTTTTACAGTCCTGCTGTGACCCTTTTCCCTTATATATTGGGACTATCACGGCTTTGCACCAGTCTCCCGGTACCCGCTTTAGTTCCCAACATAAATTAAACAAGGTGTACAGCAGGCCTGCCACCACGTCCTCTCCAGCCCTTAGCATTTCGAGTGAAACTCTATCATATCCGGCTGCCTTACCTACTTTCATGCTTTTCATTGCTTTCATTATTTCATCTATACTTATCTCTTTCATCTTCTTTCGGAATTTCTATTTCATTTAGTTCACACTTCTCCTCACTCATAAATTCGCTTTCAAAATATTCCTTCCATCTCTTTAGACTCAACACTTCATCATTGAGGATACAGCCATTCTCGTCTCGTATCGCATTCAATCTAGGCTGTTTTGAAAGTCCCCTGGTATTTCTTACGAGTTTCCAGAACATTTTAATATTTGCCTGGAAGTTATCCGATATTATTCTATCATTCCTATCCGTTCTTTCTTGCTTTTTCCTTTCAACTAATTCTTTTACTCTCTTATTTAAACGTTTAAACTCAGCCTTTTTTCTTTCATTCTCATCGTTCTTACCGCCAGAATTACCAGCTTTGGTCGCTAGTAAATCTAGCCATGCTCTCTTCTTTGCTTCAACTTCCATACGTACCTCATCATCCCACCATAACGTATTGTCTTTCCTTTCATCCGTTCTCTTACTAACACCACATACTTCAGTAGCTGCATCCACTATACCTTTCTTAACATTATGCCACACATTCTCCAAGTCTAACTCATTCACACACAACTCATCCAAATTACTTATATTTTCTCTCAGTCTGCATTTGTACTTGTCTTTCACATCTTCATCTTGTAACCTCTCAATTCTTATACGCTGTAACGCAGTGGTAGACACAGATGTCCTATGCCGCCAACGTCTGAATAAACCCCTAATTCGGCATAAGACCAGGTAGTGGTCCATCCCTACGTTGAACCCCCGGTAAACCCTTGTATCGACCACTGCGCTCCTTATTCTTTCATCCACGGTTATGAAATCTATCATGCTTCTATCATCACCTCTTTCCCAAGTATACATGTGAATCTTCTTATGACGAAAGAAAGTGTTCGTCACAAAAAAGATTCCTTTCCACACATACGGTGAGGAGGCTTTCACCATTCTCATTTATACTTTCATCACCAAACGTTCCCAATACCCTTTCATAACCAAGCCTCCTCATCCCAACCCTTCCATTAAAATCTCCTAGCATAATAATATTTTCATTTCCCTTACATTTCATTAACACCATCCTTACCATTTCCCAAAACTGCTCCCGGATATAAGTGGGCTTAGACATGTCTGGGGCGTAGACCCCTAACACAAACAACTTCTTTAAGCCCACTTTCATTCGTATCCATAGCAGTCTTGGGCTTACACATTCATACTCTTTCACATACAGTTAAGACATAGCCGAGGAATTGAGAATTGACCACAACACAACCTTTTGAAAAAATCTGACTATGCAAAAAAGCTCGATATTTAGGGTGTCACACGACTTCACTGAAAGAAACCTAATGAATCGTGTACTCATTTGCGATTCTCTATTGAAACGTAATGAAACCGAACCATTTTTGAAAAGATTGATCACTTTTGATAAAAAGTGGACCACCTACGACAAGAAGGTGCGAAAGAGATCATGGTCAAAGGATATTCAAACTTAACTGACTGTAGCGAACCCAGGATTAACACGCAATAGGGTGATGCTTTGTGTATGGGGTTGGAAGGGCATCGTCGAGCATCAACGAGTTTTTACCGCCGGCCTAAACTGTCGATTCGGTCTACTGCCAACAACAAATGAGACTCAAGCAAGAAATTGAGATAAATACACCGGAACTGATCAACAGAAAAGAAGTGGTCTTTCATCATGATAACGCCAGATCACACATTTTGGCCACTCAGCACAAATTGAGAAAGCTTGGTTGGGAAGTGTTAATGCATCCACCATACAGTCCTGACCTTGTACCCTCAGATTTTAACTTGTTTCGGTCTCTTCAGGATTATTTGGGTAGTGTTAGGTTAACAACAAAAGTGGACTGTCAAAACTACTTGTCGCATTTTTTTTATTAAAAATCCCATTTCACCAGCAATGGGGTTAAGTCAATACAAGATGGCAACAAGTAATCGATCAAAATGGCACATATATATTATAATTAAATGTAATTAAACTTTGAAAAATAAATGTCTCTAATTTGTATTTAAAAACGAAGAAACTTTTGCCGTGACCTATTATATTTATTTAAAAGGCAATCATTAACATACTCGACGAGTGAATAGATGAGTATATTAATGTTTGTATAATACCAACACTCCCTAAATATTCACTAAAATCTCACATGCACGTTCACTCCCATACATCCACACACTAATATAGTCACTCACTCATCCACACACTCACATATTCATTCAATATACAACCATACACCATTAAACACAAATACACTCAAACACTCATTCGCTGTTGTAACCCACGCAACCTTCGATCAACAATACCAACTAGATGTCGGGTCGGCGCAAGAAATCCATCTAAGTAAATAAAAGCGCACATGAGACGTGAGCTCTTATTTCGTTTAGTTCACTTGAAACACAGCCAATGTAAACACGTTTCACAATGCCGCAATGTGTGTTTAAAAGTTGCAATAATAATGCCCGAAAAAGTAATTTAACGGCAGGAGTGTCTTACTTTCGGTAATTACATGTATGATATGTTATATTTTAAGCTTTAAACTAACAAATAATATCATATTTGAAACAAAATTACCGATCATAACCACCCCTACAAATGTTTTACCAATGTTGACCAATACGCGCGCAAACATTTGTGAAACAGAACATGGACGCATGAAGTAGATTTGTATTGTAATAATTTTTAATAATTCGTTACCAAAACTTTAAATAATGGTAATTGCTACTTTTGTCTACTTGTGTAATTCCAATAGATACTTAGATTCTTTTAGCCTTCCTAGTTTTCTTCCCCGGTCGAGCCAACCCATTAGATAAAAGTATGCAATGGGCGATCTTATTGCTGACAGTAATTTCTCCCAGACAACCAATAAATGTACAGGATTACATGAAGATGATAGGAGTAGGACAAATTGGTGTGATAAAAAAAGAAGAGAATACATACACACAAATATATATATATATATATATACATAGATACATACACACTACGAACATATATACATACAAAAACTAAAGTAGATATATAATGAATTAGTTAATTAAATGCAATCAATATACTACATACTATATTATATTTAATAACTCGCGTGGAAAGTATGTATAGCAACAATCATAAATGCCCAAAACATAAAAATAATTTTAATTAAACTTATGATCATATTATAAATTATTTTAGTGTTCAACGCCACTCAATACTTCCTGGAATAAATTCAAAGAAGAAAACAGAAACATAACAAAATGACGTAGCTCGCAAGGCAAAAACGGGAAAAAGAACTTTATTTGTTACACATTAAGGTTGATTTCACACCAAAAGTTATTTAATTTATATCTTTTCATTTCCAAGTGATAGGAGTATTGTATAGCTTTGTTCTTTTTTTGTGACTAATGATCGTAAGATTTGTGACTTTATTACTAGATGCGATGGTTGTAATTAGGTTGAATTTAAAACTATTTTAATTTTTTGTCTCATTTCACAAATGTAGCTGTTTAAGTTTATGTTCAGGTGGACAGTATTTAGCTATGATTTTGTACGTGACCCGTTATCTAGTTGGTACTGTTGATCGAAGCACGCAACATATGATACAATGTCTCCTTTTTTAAAATCAATTAACAAACTCACTTATATATTAGGCCAATTTTGTTCCTTAACATCAAACATCATCATGCCCCAGATGACAGACAGATCTGACAGTTAGATGTCGTAGAGAAAACAATTGTCAATGTCGCCACGCTTTGCAGACAGGTTGGCAACCACTGTTTCTTTATTTTTAAAAGACAGCAACATCTTTTTCTGGTTTGATTCCCTCAGTTACGACACTGACGACTTCTTACGACACTCACACTAGTGGGTATACTTACACTGCCACTACATGGTGGAAAAACAATATTAAAGTCCTGAAATTCATGTGTTCCTTTTTTTTTTCAGGTCAACCAATTCAAATAATTTCTTCAAACCCCAACAATGTTGTACATACGCAAGTTATAGCAGCAGTGAGTAATCCTTTTTTGTTAGAAGTTTATATTTACACTAATATATATATATACTACCTTGCCAGGCAGACGTTGTTCTGCCCTTTTCGACGACCCTTTGTCATGTTATTTTAAAAATTAACAAAAAAAAAATTGTGGGCAAAAAAAAAACTATCCTATCTCTCAAGTTGGACCAAACTGCACACAGTGTGCAAATTTGAAAGACAAAGGAGAAAACCGATCTGCTAGGCTCTTTCTTTGCGTCCAACTCGACTCGATGACGGGGGGAGTACGCCGCCGACCATCCCGCGGTGTGAGTGCTCCATGCCGGAGGGGCGGTTCACACAGCGCTCGGTTAGCAAAGCACTCCTCTCCCTGGACATCCACAAGTCAAGTGCGCCTGACGGATTTGTGCTGAGGACGTGTGCTCCAGAGTTGGCACCGGTTTTACACCCACGTCTTTTCCGTTACTCCTACTCCCTAGGCGTAGTCCCAAAATCATGGAAGACGGCTTTCGTCCACCCGATCCTAAAAAAGGCGACCGCTCAGACCCGTCCAACTACCGGCCTATCGCCATCACCTCCTTGTTCTCCAAAACAATGGAGTCTATTGTTAACTGCCAGCTCATGAGGTACAGACGTTGTTCTGCAATTTTCGACGATCCTTTGTCACGTTCTATTAAAAATCCTTAAATTAGCAAAAAAAATTGTGGGTCACTCATGGGCAAAAAGCTATCCTATCTCTCAAGTTGGACCAAAGGGGGCGTCCATAAATTACGTGTGATGTTTAAGGGAGGGAGGGGGTCGAGTCAAATCTCATCTAATCTTACGTTGGGGAGAGGGGGGGTCTCGACAAATATCACGCAATTTTTTTTCTGATTGAAACAAAAAAAAATATTTTGGTCCATTTAATCCAGATTGTACATGCTTAAGATTTAATCTTAAGCGTGTATCGTAATACGATTAACCACTACTGAAATGTCAGATTATTAAACCAATTAGTCAAACCTATGGTCAAGCCTAAGGTTATAGTAGGTTTGGCCGAAGACAATTTTTTTTAATGAAGGAAAATATAACTTAGAGTTATTACCATATTCTTATCCTAAAAAAAATTATCAACAATTAAAATATCGAATTATTTGTACGAAGGTCACGTGAGCGCTAGAGAAACGACGATTGTAAGACGTTGTTGACAAATAAAATGTGAAATAATGAAATAGTACAGTAAAAATAGAATTTAACTTTGCACTAAATTTCCGATCCAATTTTTTTTATAAGGTTTAGGTTCACTTACTCAGTATAAAATCAAAAAATGCTGACAAATCCAGGTGGCGTTTCAAGCGCCATCTTGAAAAAAAACGTTTTCAGCCGATATCTCGGAAACTATGTACTTTAAGGTGGCTCAAGTCGCGGGCTCGAACTCATTGGTGGGCGCGGCCAAAAAGCACGTTGTCTCACCTGGCATCGTGCCCGACAGAGATAGTACCAGTGAAGAGCAGTTAGAACGCACGTCTTGTTCGTACGGCGTTCCGAACCGTTAGAACAAAAACGAAGTTACACGAACACGATGCACACATACATACCACCCTATTCTGTGCCGCTCGACGCTTGCTGAGAAAATCAGCAGTACCTACCTACAAACTCGTACTAAATTATTAGGCACTGCGCTACGTTATCGCTTTATACTATACCTCTATGGCTCTATAGATACCTAATATAGATTGCTTATTTTATTATGTTTTGTTTTCCCCGGGTGGTCATGCAGCGATCACTCAAGAGTTCACGACGCCGAAGCATGAACTGGAACAGTCATCGCAATTTATTCCGTACTAGCTGTTGCCAGCGGCTTCAAACGCGTGAACTCGAAAATTATCCCACAGGAACGAAATACCTAAATAAACGGTATCAAAAAATGTGTTATTCCAGACCAGGTATAACCTATCTCTGAGCTAAATATCATCCAGATCCCTTCAGCTGTTCTGGCGTGATTGAGTAACATACATCTATCCATCCAAACTTTCGCATTTATAATATTTAGATAATAATTGTAATTAGTTCTGCCTACCTATAAATTGTTTTCAAAAAATACTTACCTGTCTTCTTACTTTTTTTTATATACACACAATATCACTAGATGTAAACACATGTTTTTATCAAGACAAGTGACCCGTCAAGACTGTTTCCTTAGTACCGACGTACTTAGGCAGGTAGTAGTAGGTAGGCAAAAACGATTACTACTGAAAAACTAAATAGGTACCTACCTAACATTCAAATAAAAATATTCTCAAAAAGCTCAACCAATTCAGAATTTAATTTTGTTAAAAGAAAATTGGTCAAATAAAAAATAAAGGATGAAAATAAAGCATATGGGAATATAAAAATAAATCGTATTTATTTGAATAAAACTATTATTTACGGATTTTATCGCGTTTAATTACTTTAATTTATTTTTATTATTATCCCGACGTTTCGGGTGCTTTACAGCGCCCATGGTCACGGGGGGGGGACCATGGGCGCTGTAAAGCACCCGAAACGTCGGGATAATAATAAAAATAAATTAAAGTAATTAAACGCGATAAAATCCGTAAATAATAGTTTTATTCAATGTGTAGTGTTCGCGTAAATTTAAGAATTCGTATTTATTTGTTATTTCGAGTTTTACAAGAAAAGCATAATATTTACTGGGGAGAATTATTTTATTATTATAATAGTACATGATATTCCCTTTAAAATGACACCAATATGAATAATATCTTATATCTATATCTACAAATAAATAAAATTTAAGTGTCTGTTTGTAATGTTAAAATAACAGCTTTTTATTAAATGCATATGAAAGTACTAGTAACAAAAACACATTTTTTAAAATTTCAAACACCACAATCTCTATTTTTTTACTCTGCTATCTTCAGCGCTGTACACGAACGGAACGATGTCCTTGAGAGCCGTGGTAGCTCACATGGTTAGCGCTCGTTATAGGTATCATAGTACGGGAGCAACCCGGGTTCGATCCCCACTGGCACCAATGAAATTGTTGCGTGCTGATTTAGCTATCAGTTGGAAAGTCTGTTTTTCTGGGCCGTTTTGTTTTGTTACACTGACATCTCGCAAGTCACCTAGGGACCTAGGAGGTTGTCGGTTGCTTATTTTTTATTTTTCTTTAAAATTTTCGTCGGTAAAATAACATATTTATAAAAGTAAAAAAAAGTAAAGTTACAGCCTATATACGTCCCACTGCTGGGCACAGGCCTCCTCTAATTTCTGAGAGGGTTGCAAGGAAATGTCCGCCACGCTGCCTCAATGCGTGTTGACGAACTTCACATTTCTTCGAAATATATATTTTTTAATTTCTCAGACATGCAGACCCGAGTTCGATCCCCGCCGGTATCAATGAAATTGTTAATTGCAATTGTGCTGATTTACCACGTGCTCGGCGGTGATGGAAAACATATTGAGGAAACCTGCACGTCTGAGAATATAATTATAATCGAATGTAAATCAAATTGACATAGGTAAGTACAGATAAAATTAGCGGAACATTAATAAAATTTTGAGATCGTTTTTTTTTTCAAAATTTTATTTATATATTCCTCTATTTTTGTCTGTGCTTATATCAATTTGATTTAATCCAAAGTTCAAGCAGGGGTCAATGTAGCGTAGTAATTTAGAGCGCAGGTATAGCTATAATCATACGAACGTCACAGGCCGCAGCTGACAATGACGTCGGATAAAACTAGAATAAGCGCGCGTCACCGCGCATGCATGTGTGTGTAAGTATCGTCCTCCCGCACCGCACCGAGGGAAAAATTATTCAGTGAGATGCACGATAATTCATATAAACACGCGCGCGTAAAAAAATACGAAAAGGCCTTTGGAAGGAGGGGGTTTTATGAAAAACCCACTGCATGAATCAATTACCAATAAAATTTATTGAATTCTTCGATAATTGAGCTGTGTCGGTACCGACTTTGTTTTGGAAATTTTACACTGCTTTTATTACTAATTTACGCCCAAAGTTGTGTTAAAATTGGCAATAAAAACGAATCTTTGGTAGCTCGTAACTTTTTATTGACTTTTTATTTTACTATTCTGTTTCGGTACAGACAAAATTAATAATGAGACAAAACGATATCATGTTTAACTTTGGATGTACACTGTCAAACAGCGGAGTAAAACCCCTCCGAAATTTCTATGGAAATAATGTCGACTAGAGTCACCTTAAACCATTATTGTAGAAAATAAATTTTCGCATCTTTTGTTTCCAGTGAAGTTTTTTGTAAAACTTACCGTTTACGATTTAGGACCCATTTATTGAACCGGTTTTTCTATCGCGGCCAATAACTCTTGAAATATTAGATTAATCAATAAAATGCATAAATCTATTTTTAAAGATCAGTATATTTTACAAAACTTTTGTTTGAAACTTTTTTTTCTAATGTCCACATGTTTTTGAGTTATAGGACCTTTAAGAGCGCATATTCAAATATGTCCAAGTCGAAATCTACGCGATCGCTTTGGAACGGCGTAATATTGACGCACACTACAATGTTGTCTCTGTGTGCGTGTCAGTGCGAGCGTGAGGCTATAATAGTTGCCTAACGACGACTACGAATCACTTTGATCTTTGATTATATACCTTCTTTGATACTGTTGGAACTAAAATAATAAAAAAAATAATTTCCATATAATGGCTTACTTATATAGTGTATAGAAATCGGAGGCTAATATGTGGAAATTGTTTTAGGTATTCTTTTAGTAAATTGAAGTCGGCTTTACATTTTCACCCTATTGAGTATATTATAATATGTATATGTTCTAATTGAAAAATATGTATTGTATAAAATATATATCATTTGATAAACTTTTATTCTGTTTCATAATGTAAACATAATTCATCAAACTAACAATTTCATCAGTGTCGGCGGGGATTAGTGTTGCCAGGTCTAGCAAGTAAAATTTCGGGACGGAAGGTAAAAATAATCGGGGATTTGGTTTTCATATCCGGACAACTAGAATGACTAC